TAGAATATATGAAGACCAAGATGGTGTGGTATGGTCGCATTTTCTTTTCGATTTATTGAAGTCGGTTGCCTCGTTTTCGCAACTTGATCTTGTTCTCCGGGTGACTTAGTAGAGCGCACCTGGTCCGAAGTCCTCTGCCATAGTAGTTATCATAATTCCCAGAATCAGACCTGCGAAACGTCTGAGAATGTACCAAATCCACTGTCTGATGCTAGGTATTATGATTACTATGGACAAGATGCGTCCTACTAAATAGTCCTGACAACAAGACCAAGTTACGATGAGGTCAATCCACTTCTAAAAATAAAATAATTTTCTATCCTCAATACACCGGCTACAGTAATCTTCCTATCTGATCTGGAGATCTAACTGATTCGTAGAAGAGACGTTGAACTAGTACAGTATCAGCCAGAAAAGTAGCGGCATTATGCCAAGTGCCTGTGCACACATGCACATGCCTGAAAGCCCAGGTTGCTTGATCAGAAAGTTTTATTAAAAGAAAAAAGAAAAGTAGCAGCGCCATCGACGTGAACCGCGCAACTGTCCTCTTTTCGACTGCTTTCTTACTGCCGGAGTCCTTACGCCCGTCAATCTCTCCACTTCTTGGGGAGCCTTCTTTCCTTTTAGGCTCTACCGCCTCTTTGCGGTTCAGGGCCGGAGTAGTAGAATCGCGAGCAAAGGTTAAATTAATATCGTCAGTTTCCTCCTGTAAATGCTACCAAATAAGAACATAAATGTCTGTTCAGGGAGGTGGCACGATAAGGGAGGCACAGTCGAGTATGTAGCCAAAGGTCCAGCGGAAGGGCTGTTGCCAAAAGTGAATTAACAGCCTTCAAGCACACTTTCCAAGTGCTTTATAATAGGCACAGCCAATTTATACATGAATAAGAATTTGGTTTAAAAAAATCCTATAATTGGTAAGTGTGATTCGATTTTGTATTTTGAAAGGAAAGTTGGCTAAAATGCATTGCAAATTATCCGCACTGGTAACCGAAGGATTGCCTTGGAGTGGATAACGTCGGATTGTGCGAAAAAGTCTTTGGCTAGCCATCTGACGAATCCAAGTAACTCTACTTGGGTGTATTTAGTGTTTTTCGTAAGAAACGGCTTCTCGTTTTGACGATGCCTGTCAAATGAAAAACAAAAGCTCGACAGAGATGCATCGCAAGTCTCAGGGCGGTGAGCCGAAGACTTGATCTGCTCCAATGAAACTACTCTTTGGTTTCTGGTGGGGGCCAGTTGACGAACCCATTCAACCAACTTTTCCTTCTGAATGAAAAGTGGAATCACAGCCAATTTTTACTCGCAAATCTGAAGACTAAGGCGGAGTTGCACCAATCTTGATCTCAGTTTCACTAGCCTCGTGCTACGAAACTTAGTCGTTTTATCACCACGATATCGAAGAAGGTACCTTGTCTGGCCTTCTATGCCATTATTTCAACTTTCGATCATGGTCTTGGTACATTCCCAGGCATTTACCTGCCTGCCTTAGCTGTCATGTATATACCTCACGGATCTGCAAGAAACAAATTTAACAGGATTTGTTCACGACCTGGTTACTACATATTACGGAGTGATGAATAATCAGAGCAAAAGTGAAGCAAGCTTCATGGCCAACACGCAGCCATTCCAAGACAGTGTCATTTGGTGCCAAGCTTGCATCGTTTACAAGACTAACTTAACGTAAGTAGGATCGAAAAGAAAATTCTCGTAGTCCTGGAGCAATCAAGTTGACTCAACTTTCAGAACAAAATAAAGTCTGATCGAAGGTACGAAGACCAAGATGGTGTGGCCTTTTGTGTGGTCGCAGTCTCCTTTCGTTGTATACAAGTTGTTTGACCTT